ATCACTCTTTACACTGTTTTTGATCAAAAAGATGTCAAAAATATATATTAAGTTCTACTCTAGAAAAATTTTATTTGTATGAGCTACACCCTACTTATACCCTAAATATTTTGTTTTTGTAACCTTACCCTGCCCTGCCCTACGAGCTTTGTACCCTAGCCCTACCCTGCCCTGCAGGGCAGGGTAGGGTAGGGTAGGACAAGGTTGACCTGCAGGACTCTATTTTGTGTCTCAAAAAATAGATGTACCAGTTTGTTACATTTTACCGTTTTCGCGAGCTGCATTGATGAATTTTCAGTGATTCAAATTATATAGTAACTTAATCACGGCTTAGAAAGTCTAATCTATAATTTTTACTAAAACAGCTTGTGGCAACATGTAAACTGAATGTCGTTACATTTAGCCTTATTACTCATATATAGTTTGAAGTCCAGAACAGTGGTGTGTTAGAAGTTTAAGTTTTGTGAAGTTAATTCAAAAGATAAATTTGTTTTACTTATAAGTTGGAAAAAACCCAGAGAAAGAGAAGTACACAATAAGCACAGTACGCAAGAAAAATAAATATTTGCTCTAAGCATATTTTTACGTGTTTTGGAGGACCTTTGCAGTATCGACAAGAAACTTCGGAATACAAAAAAGAGAAATTGAGAGATTGATATCCAATTTGAACTTTGCATGCATCTTTTTTTTTAAATACCCTTAATGCAAATGTGTCACGCTATTAATAGAGTGATAACACCTGTTGGGAATTCCAATTAACGATAAACAAACAGTGCAAAATTCGCAAAACAACACGAAAGAAAGAAGAAAAGAATGAAAAGAAAAAATTTCAACATATATGAAACGAAAACTACGTGATGCATGGCTAATAATAATAGCAACAAGGAAGAACCTATCATTACATACATATAATCCAATTCATAAAGAGGAAACATTCTATAAACTCTTCAGAAGGTACAAATGTGAAAAACAAATTCTTTTTTTGTGTGCAAACAGTTAAATTTAATTGAAATTTTGAAAGAACCAGTGGTGCGATGTGTCTATGATAATTAATGAGACCTTCCTCATATCTCACGTATTAATATCATACACACATTAAACTCATCGATTCTTATTTTTATCTGATGTCATACGACTCGACAGTTAAAATAACATCCGAACAAAAAACCTATCAACGGCTATACGAACAATATAAAAAAACGTTCACTCAACGCAATTTCTAATTGTAATAGCTAGACACGTGTATACTATTTGATTAATCGTCTTCATCGGAGGATGATCTTAATTCCTCTTCAACTTGTTCTAGAAGTTGATTGATTTCATCAAGTTCAGCTTTCATTGGCACTTTTTCCATTTTACTATAGCGTTGAAACAATTCATTTGCCCAAGTCAAACGATGCTGAGCTGCTGGATTATTTGGAGGACTTTCATCTAATAGACGTTTACTTTCTGTAAGAAAGTAATCG